AAGTAAGTTGTTATATTAAGAACTATTACCGTACAGTCCGTACACCATTATTATTGTATGGTGGGTCATGGTGGTTATGAATGTAATATTTTGGTTACACATGCAGCTTTAGCAAAGATGTCCTCCTTGTATTTACCTTAATATTTCATCCCTGAAACGATTTCAACTAAACTTCGGACTACAGCTTAGTTAATCTGACATTTAATAGACATTCAAAGTAAATTCCATTAATTTTCTTAAGAATGTTACCACAGAAACATAAAAAGTCTAGTAATTCTTAAACTTTTTTCAAACATAGCCCATTCAATGAACATGCATCTATTAAGGCCACCTTTCGTCTTTATTTTTAACATATAACTGTTTTAAAGATACAACGAAGGCGGTTTTATAAGTAAGGGTCGGTTTCACATATAAATCTGTAGTTTGCTTCTACGCCGCAACAAGCCTCATCATCAACATTTATTGGCATCATTTTTAAACAGAATAACACAAATTTCAGCTCTGTAGCTGTCATGTAAGCTTCGCTGTGTGTTTTTAAATTTTGTTTAACAATCACATCTCTTCTGTGATGTTTTTTTTTATTACAACTACAAGGAACATATCCGATGCCGACGTTCATCACCAAATGACTGAAGAATATGTCCCTAATGCCATGAGTGAGAGTAAAGTGCGGAAATGCGTTATGGAGTGTAAAAATGCCTATGAAATATTTTTTTTCAACAGTCTTTTTTGAGAAGTCTGGGTAGCAAAAAAAAAAAAACCCTTCCGAAATGAGCATTTTTAAACTCCCTAGCCTATTTCTGAAATTTCCACGCTATCTTTGCATCAGGGTCATAATCTCCAGTCATCTTGCAATAAATGTTGGCATCGAATGTTTCTTGTAAAAAAAAAAAAAAAAAAAACGTATACCTGACCTTACCTCAGACGGGGCGGGAGAATTGATTGTTTAAAAAATTTGTATAACACACAGCGAAGCATACATGACAGCTACAGAGCTTGTTATTCATTGTGACACTTGGTTGGAATATATAATTGATAAAATAGAAGAATTACCTTATACAACCACAGTTGCTGGTATGACAACTAGTTTCGTTCCTTAGAACTTCGTCAGGTCATTGTATGCAACCACATCATCAATGTATTAATACATTGTGGTATGTCTAAAGATTCTTTAAAACACTGTCAGAATCACAATAGTAAAAACTAGTCATGTTGATCAAATTATTAAAATTGAATAAAAAGTGATAAAACTGGTTAAAACTGTAAAGGCTGGCCAGCAATGTCTTATCACTGTCACTGACTAAATAAAACTGACTGAATCATGATGTGTCTTCATCTTCATCTCTCCAGTGCCACCTGTATTTCAGTTTGTTTTGTTCTTCTTATTTAATACTTCTTTGATTTTTAGCTTGTCAATACATGTATCAAATATAGCCTAATATTTGACTGGAAGGAAGTCTGATTTAAAATGTTGAATGGGTCGAGCTTTTTAGCTTTGTAGATGAAAATTTGTGTCATATTAAAAAATATGACATTATTAAATATTGTCGCACATTATTAAAAAATAATTATTAAAAAACAATAATTATTAAAACACATTATTAAACAATATTGTGTCATATTAATACCGTATTAATATGATTTGAAAATTGTTAAAATTCTGTTTTAAAACAGTTTAAACTTGTATTGAAACCATTTTATAGTTGTTATAACATGAGTTTATAATAGTTTTAATACAAGTTTGTAACAATTTTATCACAGTTTTGATACAAGTATTAAATTGTTTCTAAATAAGTTTCATCTGTTTTAAAACTTATTTACCATTAATTTTTAACTCCAATTAATACAAAACTGATGCCAAGTTTTGTCGTATTGATATTAGTTTTCATACAAGTTTAAAACTTGTGTTATAACAATTTTTGGTTCATTTTTCTGCTACTTGGGAAGGGTGGGAAGTAGATAGAAAGGGAGTGGATAACCTATAGAACATAGAACATGTTTTTGGCCTCAGATTTCAATTAGCTCACTTGGACTGGGAACTCGATGAAAATGTAATTTACAGAAACGTAGCTTTATATGCCTATTGGATGGGTTCTGTTTCTTCCAACTTATCCTTTAGTTCTCATTTTAAATAAGCCCGATAAAAAGGGTTGAAACTTCAGGAGTACAATACTTGTTTGATAAATTTATGCACTAAAATCATATTTTCTCGATATTTGCATATTTATTTTCATTCATTATCTTTATTCAATTATTTGTATACCCAGTTTCAAAAACCAATACCAATTCAATATTTACCTTGCTGTTTGATTAGCTGAGTTCTTGATTTTAGTTTTAGGCCTGTGTGATTTTGCTGCGTGCTGCAGCATCTTCTTACTCTTTTAACTGGACACCTAACTAACTCTAGAAATATACATAAACCTTAACTGATTTAAGTGTTTATAAAAGGGTGTTTTTTGTAATATGGACCGTTTGTGCGTATACGTCCCAACGAGGCTCCTTCCGGCTTAATGGCAACATTTGTGAACAGAATAGCGCCTTTTGCAGCTCTGCAGCTGACGTATATGCATTATAGTGTGTTAAGAAACTTTTTTAAATTATTGAATCTCCTGCTGCATGCATGATAAGGTCAGTGATGAGTTTATTTGACCACAAGAAACATATCCGATGCCGACATTCACTAGTTGACTGAAACGTGTAAGTCCTAATGCAATGAGTGAGAGCAAAGTGTGGAAATGGGTTAGGAAGTGTATAAATGGTAGTGAAAACTCCTCTGTGGTCTATGTGAGAAGTCTGCGTACCTTCCAAAATGGTAATTTTAAGAGTCCTTGGAGGCTAGCAGCCATCTTGGATAGTTTCAAACAGCTGCTGAAGAGTTATTTATAGTCCAAAAATATTTTTTCAAAGACCAAAGTGATTATAATTTAAATATCTAGTATACTGTGAGATTAGAAATGCTCTTTGCAGTTTTGAATTGTATTATTGAAATGTATCTCTATAATTGCATTAAGACCATATACTTTTGTCATATGGCAATGAATGTTCTCCAGCCGATATGTTTCTTACAGTCAAAAAAGATATCACTGACCTTATCTGGTATGCAGTAGAAGATTTAATAATTTTAAACATTTTCTAGACACACAGCAAAGTGTATAAGGTAGCTAAAGAGCTTCAAATGGCGCCGTTATGCTCACAAATGATGGTAGTGAGCAGCGAGGAGCCTCGTGGCAGCGTACAGGTGAGCTAAGAAACTATATATCCACAAACAGCCCTTACTTAAAAAACTACTCTCATATTAATATCTTTAAAGATCATAAATAAATTGATAATTTTTTTATCTGATTTATGGGAAAAAGGTTATGATCCAGCCCTTATTGACAGAATGTATAATAAACGCATGGCAAAACACACATCACCTAATTTATCACAATTAGAATCAAACAGGTATTAAAAGAAAACTGAACACATTATCAAGAAAACTTTTAAAAAACAAAATGTTACAACATCCTTCAGATCAGAAAACAATTAGCAGAAACTATTAAGCAATACGAATAAACCCAACAACATAAATAAATACAAAGGTTCGGGTGTATACCAACTTAATTGTAATGATTGTAACGCATTTTATATAGGACAGACGGGCAGATCTTTTGAACTGAGATTTAAAGAGCATGTTAAAGAGCTTGGGAATATCAGTAGAACGCCAGGAACAAATATTAAATCCAAATATGCGGAGCACTTAAGTGAACAGGGGCACACTTATACAAATATAAGTAGTCACTTGGAAATCTTAGCGAGGGAAAAGAAAGGACAGCGGCTTGACAGACTAGGGGAAATGGCAATATACAAGCTAAATAAAAATATTGTAAATGAAAAATTCATTCAGACGCCAATCCTATATATGATACCATTATTCGACTGACAGATAATGCAAGAAGGAGTGAGTGACGTCATGGTTCAAAGTCCAAAGTAGGGTGCTTGGACAAGTCAGTGCCGCCGCAGTCCCGAGCCCGTTCAGCCGTGCGCACGGTGATAGTTTTCCTAAATGTTTTCGTCAGTGTCGTGTTTTTGTGTTTTTATGTTTACGTCAGACTATGTTTCTCAATGTAAAATATTTGACGCGGTTGCTACAACAACAACGCAACTAAGTATGGAATAACCTAGTGCAACAGCAGAGCAGAAGATGACCTAAAGGTCGAAACGTGCGTCCTCCATAGATATACTGGATTGATTGACGTAAGTTGTAATTATTAATTAAAATGTTAACATTGTTTTAAATTGGAGTGCCCACACCAAGGAAACAGTCTAGGGACAGTCGCGCAACTGTTGCAACCGATGATCCCGGACCCAATTTGCCAGCGACTGCTCTGTGACTCAATTGTTGCGGGACTGTCGCTCCAGGTTTGGTATCCATTGAAACAAGTGTAGATGCGCACACATGCGACTAAATTGTTGCTGTGTCGCTCAGTCTCACCCCAGGACTTCAACTACTCGTGGCCTAGAACTGTCACTAGTGTTTGCTCTCTTGTCGTGTGAAGTTTTTAGAAAATTACAAGTATGAGTGTGCGTGATGAGGATGTCAAACAATTAATTGATGAAGTTGAGAAGAGGTCGCCTTTATATTTAAAGTCATTGAAAGACTATTCGGATATTAATTTAAAGAAGAAGTTGTGGGATGAAGTGTCCTTGGCAGTTAACCAAGATTGGAACAATCTAATACAAGAGGATAAAATCAAACAGGGTAAGTAAATATTAAAAACTGTTGCTACATTATACATTCGGAACGCTGTACAAATGTATGTCCAACACTTCTCAATACTAGATTCTTGACTAAAAAGTTGCCTGTGTGCGCACTCCAGCTCAACTGTCGCTAGACTTCAGAGTCTCCGAGTGGGTTGCGCAACAGTCCCCCGATTAGTCGGGCAACTGTTGCGCGACTCAAAATCGCCTGTGTGCGCCTGGCCTTAGTAACACATGTTTAGGAATGAAAAAATCATCGATATCAAAACATGTCAATTTTATTGAGTAAAAAGTACATTTTGTACCACATTGGAATCTGACAGTAAATGCAATTCAGTTATTCACTAAGTATTAAATATTAAATGTACATTCCCTCGCTAGTCATAATCACTACAAATATTAGTAACAACAGAATAGTTTAGTATCACAAGCTAGTACATAATACTGACAAAAATCTTTCCTACCAAGCAAACAGATTGCAGAAAAGAAGTCAGGAATAACACTGCTACTGTAAGATATACAAGTATCTTATCCGTCAATAAATATAGTAAGACATAGTGATATAACAGCATCAAATAAATACCTTCAATTGCAGTCAACTAGTCGGAGATATATAAAACTATACTAAAACCTTAAATGCGATTGATTCTAAAAATAAGATTTTTATCCTAAAAAGGATATTAAGACATGATTTATGTCTTTTGCAGATTTCGATAAAAACTATTTTTAAAAAGGGATCGCCCTAACTCTAATTATTATACGACGCTCGGTGTTACAGTCTAATTGGCCTAATATTCATTGTATAAAATGGTATACTATTTACAAAAATATTCTCTTAAAAAAATAGTCAAGTAAAATTTGATTAAAATTACAGCCATCTTAGATTATTATATTTCTGTGCCGAGCCAAGAGACGATTTCAAGTACCACTTTTGTACCCGTCTGTTTCAACATTGACACGGCCTTGGAGTGCTCTACCTTCTCTAATGACTGTCCATCCACTGAGAGAAGACGATCTCCACATCTGTGAACAGACATAACATTTGTATAAGATAAACCTGAACTAGGGTTCTTCCAGGAAGACAACAGTATAGTGGTTTCTTCCTAGTTGGGCCAATTTGTAAAAACTTATATTCATACATAAATGTTCAATATCAATACAGTAGTCTGTCGATCATCCAATACACTCGGTAATCAGACATTTCGATGAATAAATCACCAATCAAACAATAATTGTACCAAAAAAGAAAAATTGCAACGGCAGTCTAGACGCTACATCCATCCGGTCGTGACACATCATCCTCACCGATGTTGCCTTTCACTCATTAAAAATAAATTGTACTTTTTTGTTTCCATGTTCGTGTATGAATGCATAACGTGTGTATTGACGACCTTCTGATGAAGTGATTTGACATCCTCTGGACACCCGAAGATGACTTTGTGAGAAGTTGAATCTAGTTGCGTCATAGCAACAACATTTTTGGATTAAAAGAAGCAGGTATTTACACCAAATTTTATATTCAACGTAATCCGGAGGCTAACAACAACAATGAAATTGTACCAAACTGGAATTCAATTCATTCTGTGACAGGACTCTCTTGTATCCTTTCAATCGCTGATCCAGTCAAATAAAAGGTCCTCATAATGAATACTGAAAAGTAAGGATGATTATAATTATATAGAAAAAGTATGTTCATTTTTTTTAAATTATTTATCAATTTAACATAAGTAACTAAATTCCATACATTTAATCTTTGTTCATTTTCAGCAATGCAGGTAGGCCAAATTTAATTTAGAAAATGGATTATACTTAAGGATCAGATATACAAGATACAGCTGTATGCAAGTTGATAAACTAAATCTAATAGTTTGTTTTTTAATAAATATTGTTTTTTTACTTCAATTATGCTTTAACTTGATTAATGTGAACGTCTAATAATAGTCAAAGATTACAACACAGAGTTTAATGAGGATTATCTGTAAATGTAAATCAAGGTCTTCATCAAGCTTCCATCACAAACAAGAAAGCTAGTTGAAATCTAAGACCAACGTTGTGTTCCTTATTTTATTCACTACTATTCTAGTTTCTTTGATAAGTCTGGTTTTAGTAGGCCTACGAATCAAGTCATAATATTAGTTCAAGTCGTTGTTAAAGAAAATTGACGCTCCTACCAAGTAAGAATCAGGTTCTAGTAGTTATGTTGCTGTAGGAAGAGGTCAATCCCTGGTAATCACTGTTGTCAGATAATAGTTGAGTATGCAAAAGTGATTTGTCAAGGAAAATGTGTTCATTAGATATCAATTTTATTTACAAAATTACATAGATTTGATTTTAATTTTAAAATACTAGCTACTTGGGATGTATAAAAAAATAAAATGAAAGCTCAATATAGCAATGAGGGAATCGCGGCACCATCTTCAAATTGAATGCTTTGAATTTTACATCTAGTTCCCTGTAGCCTAAGCAAAACTGCTTGAATTATGGAAAGCTGGCTTTGGATCCTCAACCATCCGATAATTTGGGATTTTACAGCCGGGCCTTCGCTTATTCTCCTCTGAAATGTGTCAAGGAAAATGTGTGTGTATTGGCTTGAGGAATGAATAAAAGCCTGTGCATATCTAGACAAAGGGGCCAGAAAAGGGTCTTCATCAGTTTCCATATCGTGACATTTATTGAATATGCTGAATATGCTTGCTGACCGGTATGTTTCAGACTCCCAGGGCTCGCTGTAGTACTTGATAGTATTATAGAGACTCCACCATTATTTCGATAGTCTTTCTCGCTCAGTCATACCAAGATCCACATGCAAAATTCTCCTGCTTTGTGCAAATGAGACTTGCCCCTGGACTGATTTAAAACACCATCCGTTCATACATACATACAACAAGGGTCCGCTAGCACGATAACTCAAGGAAAAATTATCCGATTTGGATGCAGTTTGGGACAAACAAGTAAACATGCAGTTATTCTAATTAGTTTGCAAACTAGTATGATCTGTCCATGGGAACTGGATTTAATAAAGGGTTATGGGGTTAGAACATCAACCTTTGCAATTTATTTCCAAACCATATTGAGCTTGAGAAAACAAATTATTTAGTACATTGAAGCATCGTTGTTGTGCGGAGTGTGTAATGGTCACAGATAACATTCTAAAAAATTGTAAATTCAATATGCAATTGTTTTAATATTTCAATATGCAATCAGTGATACGTAATAAGATTGATAAATGATACAGGTCCAGTTAAAAATATCTCAATACATAATAAAAGAATGGGTTAAAAAGCTAATCCCTATTAAACTAATACAGGTGCTAAAAGATAGTTCAGAGACTTTATACTTCAGTTTTCGTTAAAATACTATATAAATCTTTGAAATAAAACAGTTTGCAAACTATTGGACGTGTTAAATAAGATATTTATTGATATCTTACCAAGACATATTGACACTTGCTGGTACTTATTATAGATTACATTTATACCTTAAAGAAACACAAATACAAAAAAGAGGAACAGAGTTTCATAGCTGAAATCATTGAGACTACACAAGTGGCGACAATTAAGGAGGATGAAAATGGGTCATTATAACGCTTCTTTCACAAAACATTTACTTCATAAAGAGGGAAGATAACCAACTGGGGCTTGAGTAAATTGAAGATCCTACAACTGTATTGTTTCAGTACGTTTGTATTTTACTTTAAAGAATTAAATTTTATACAAATCTGAAGGAAAAAACATTGAGTTTCATAATTAAAATAAATTTTATTCAATCGGTATTTGTGTTGCAACTGGGAAAAGTGTTTATTTAAAAAGGATTTATTTGGGTTTGATTAAATCTAGCCTACTTTTTCTACGTATTTTCATGTTTTAAGTAGTTAAAAGTTATCATTACTGAAAAATAGTTTAAATAGAAGAGTATGAAGTGCAGTAAATTATACAGATGAATTCAAATTTGCCTTCTTTAGTATTAAAATACTAAAATATTTCTCTTTGAAATACGTGAATTAAAATGCGTCCTCTTAAAATACGTTAAAAAATATATTTTTATATAATGCTTAAATGTATTTCCATGATTATTTCGGCTAAACGTATCTTTCTTTACTAATAAATATGTTCCAATAAAAAGAATAATCAAAATTTAATTTATATTGATTATGTGTTTAACTGGAAACTGTAGAAAAGTTACCTCAGTTTCCCATCCTTAGCAGCAGGAGAGTCCTGGACTACAAAGAGGATGTGAATATGCTGTGCCCCCCGGGTAGGGTCCTCCCCCCCCACGATGCTGAACCCCAAACTGGCCCCCGGGCTACGAAACAGGGTCACTGTCTTGGGGAATTGAAGGCACCTGTAACAAAAAGGGGCTATGAAATATATTATGCTACAAGGCCAGGAAGTATTTGTTTACAATAGGAGCGTGATAGTTCTGAAGCACAGAGTTTCATGCGAGTACTGTAAACACCCTCCCTGAATAAACTTACACTGATGAAATCATCCCATTTATAGACCATCAGTCAATTTTTATTAAAAAAGAAAATAGTGAATAAGCCAGTAACAGAGTATGCTAGTGTATAAAGTTCTTTTTCTACCTTATTCTTTTTGTTACAGAGATAATGTATGTGGCACAGAAGATGCTTTAGTTTACAATAAATCGTTCAGTTCAGTTTGAATTGGTTAAAAAGTCTGTATATTCAACAGAAATTTGAAATTTACATTAGCGCAATCTGTAAGAACGCTTGGTGAATTTATTATGTGTCAGAAGACTTTTACTGAGCCCTTTTGAAAAAGGCTTTCTAGTTTAGAAAGATACCAAAAGCCAGGTGCTTACTGTGGGGTGTGGCAAAATAGAGTTGTTAAGCAAAACATAACTTTTTTGTGTCCTGTTTTTTAAGATTAATAACCTAATATCAACTAAAAAACAATTGGAGCAGAATTCTATAATCATTTAAAACACCCAGTATTGGGACGACTTGTGTCACCTTGGTAGCTTCTGCCAGTAGAGCCAGGAAGGGATGAAGTTGAATGCTCCAAGGGAGGTTTCTGGACCCTCTACCACAGTCATCTCAACACGTGTAGTTTCCACTGTGGCCTTGAGAGTAGCAACAGCCTGTCCATGGGTTAGTCCAACCAAGCTATTGCCGTTCACACCTATTAGGATGTCTCCTTTCTGCAACACAAGTCCAAAGATACATTGTTATTAATTGATTGAGAGACAGCGAAGGCATTGGCATGAATAACACCCCTGCAGCCACCCCCAGGTCCAGGGGGCACCAAGGTCCGACTATCACCGCTCACCGCAATCACGGCTTAAGGTGACGTTGTTTCCACGACCGCGGGAGACGATGATGATATCCTCAAGAGCGAAGAAAATATTCAAGATTTTACCGCAATTATAGAAAAAAATGTCGCCGTTTACGAGACCTCGGGAGACGATGTTAATGTCTTCAAGACTAAAGATCATATTTATTATTTTGCCGCAAACAAAACATATGCGATAATGCAGAAAAAGATATTGTTGTTTCTGCGACCGTGGGAGACGATAATGATGTCTACAAGACCGAAGAAGATATCCAAGATTTTGGCACTATGGTTGGAACAAGGTGACGTTGTTCCCGTGACCGTGGGAGACGTTGATCATGTCTACCTACATATTCAAAATTTGGCTGCGACCACGGAAAGTTATGACAATGTGTCCATGACTGAGGGAGACGATGAAAAAACGTCCATGAGAGTTTATTGACTTTTCCGCAATTACGGCTTTTGCAGAGATAAACGAATAAAACAAAAGTGGTGATGTTTTGGGGGGGGGGGGGGTGCATCTACATGTACTGCGGGATAGCGCCGCTCGATGTACTTACCCTACTGAACGAAGGACTCGTAAAACTGCATGCTACTGGTTCAAATCATTAAAACTGTATAATATCTAGATAAGAATATTTTGAGTGCAGACAAATCATTTGTGTGAAGGTATGCACTTTTGTAAACAATGTAGTTAGTTTACTCAATAGGGTTTCAAACTAGGGCGGCACATACAAAATCAGACAGCCCAGGCTGAAGTTACAAGTAAGCGACCTAACTACTTGCAGCTTCCTTAACAACTTACATCATACATAAACTAACCCAGTGAGGACTGTTAACTCTTGGACTTAAGTGAAACCATGACTGGAATTAGTACTATGCTGAAACCATTTGGTATATATTTTGTGTCTGTCACAAAAAAAGTATATGAAGTATTTTATATTTTAAATAATTATAATTTTTTTTGTGACGGACACAAAATATATACCAAATGGTTTCAGCATAGTACTAATTCCAGTCATGGTTTCACTTAGTATATCACTTATCTTAAGACCATCTGTGATTGGTTGGCATTGAACCCAGACCTTCAGCACAGTAACCACAAGACCTGTTATGCCCCTATTGCCAGGTATGTTTTGAGTAGAGTTGCTAACTATGCCATAGTTATTATTGTTTTTCAATGGAGAATATACCATTTCTATACAGGTTCTGTCTTATAAAGGGTGAAACGAGGTTGGTATTGTAAAACAATGTTATATGTGTTAAACTTCTAAGTATTGGTAACAAAATGGTACCAATTTAGGTTTCCATACCCTCACAGATAGTGGATAAGAGACAAATTAAGATTTTTCAAAATACAATAAAATCCCTAATATACAACCTCGGAATTTCTTTCCTCGGTTTATCTGGTTACTTACTGGGATCCATACAAAAAATATTTTCCATGGCTGTACACGTAGACTCCATGATTTGAGCGTTCTCAAGGTTTATTTGTTTCCTATTCATATAAATTTTTTTAAGGGGTCAATAAATCAATTGAGCTAGTGGATTCCAAAAAGAGACAACTACTAATTATAACCAATCACAAGTTGTTATTAGATAGAAATTATCGTTTGTAGATATTATGTAGGTAGGCAAATAGATGTTTTTTTACAGGAAATTGAATATTAGCCATTCTATAGAAACTCTTATATTTAAGAATAAAACACCAAAGAAACAGTAGGTTTTTATACATCATTTTAAAGGTTAATTACTAAAGAAGCTTATAGTAATATTTGACACTCTCTACAGTCCAGTTAATATTGAAAATAGTTGGCAAAGGTTATTGTGTTTTTCTCAAAAATTACAAATTCAAACTTCCATTGTAGAATAAGGGCTTATAAAGAGGTTTTATCTCAATGACTATGTACTATTGTTGTTGGAAACTGAACGCAGATTCTAGAAATGACAAACAATCCTAAATAAAAACAATGTTTAGTGTACTTTCGGCCATTTTATCAAAGCAAGGCTAACGTTTTTTGAGATAGAACACAACAATAACAAAATAAAAGCGTGTTTTTTAAGTATTAACAGTTTTTACCGGGGACAATAATGTATGAGACAATTCATGTTTACTCATACTCTCATTGACAAGCTGGCTATTATTGACTTTCACTTTGGCTGTGCTATTATTAGTACCAAGGGTTAGTTTACAATACAAAAAGCTGTGCTATTATTAGTACCAAGGGTTAGTTTACAATACAAAAACTATTTTCAAAAATAAATTTTGTAAAAAAAAGTTTCAGCCAATCAATTAAAAAGATAAATGATGAATTAACATGATTAATGTACAATTATATACATTTAACTGTAGAAAAAAAGAATATAATTAAAGATATGAACAGAAAGAAGAAATATCTACCCAAATCTGCTGAGTTTTTCCTACACAGCCGTGGGGATGAATGTTGGCGATGTAGATGGGAATGTCACCTTCATTGCTGCCGAGTCCCCCACCAATTCTCATTCCGAGACTTTCATTGGGCTCCTGCGAATGTATGAATATAAATATATATGATATCATTGGAAGGCGTATCAGATTATACACTTACATTACAGATGACAGATGTGCTTACATTCTGAACAAAATTAGTACTTTGAGACTCAGGATTTAATTATTAATTAAAATTATATTAATTGAATTGAATCATGTTACTATAGTTTTTTCTTAACTCATGAACACAAAAAGAAATCATCAATAATTTAGGAGGGCCTCTTTCTACAAGCTCTGCCACAGATGTACTCCTTATGAGTTGCTCCACAGAGAAGAAAGGTACAGAGGAAACACGCTTATTAGAAAAATTTGCACTTTCAGCTCTGGTATGTTGTGCTAGAAGTATACTTGTGACAAGCAAGGAAGAGCCTGAACGGTGAGCACTGTGAGAAAATTCGTATCAGGGTCTTCTTTCACCGTAAGCGTTGTAGTACATGAAGGCGAGAGGTGTGGTGTTGGACTTTTGCCCTAGACACCACTTAAGTGTGCCATGGACGGTATCCTCTGTTCCTTGCTTCTCTGTGGTTGCTCACATTTTGATCATAAGTATTGTTATTTAATTTGGTCAGCTTTAATCAAATTCTTCTCATTTGATTGTGTTTTTACACAAAGTTAATAAAAAAATTACTGAGGGTTATTTTCTTATTATGAGTATCTTACACATATTTATAAACATTGATAAATCATGTAATTAGGATTTTGTTTATCTGAACTTCACCAGATAATAAGTGAAGCTTCATGGATAACAAACATTACCTTGACGATTGTGATGAACTTGTGTTGTAGTTCCTGTGAGGAGAAGTCTCTGTTGAGGTTGATGGTGGCAGCGTGGTGAGGGGGCATTGGGGCTGGAGGAGTGAGGGAATCACACGAGACAGACTTATGACTCAGAGGAGGGTTGGAGGAGAGGGAGGGAGAGGAATCGGAATCATGGGACTCCGGAGCAGACTTGGTGCGAGAATGAGAGACAGGAAGAGAACTGCGCTTACGAGCCACGACCAGAGTCACCTTCTCTGAGCTCTGAAACATGTAGAGGAATCAGAAACATTACAGGAACTACAATGAGGAATCAAAATCAAAACTTAAATTATAATGAGAAATCAGACACAATATGGAAACAAAAATGAGGAATCAGAAACAATATAGATTGAAAAACGGTTAAGGATAATAGGAAATCAGAAACAAGTAATATGCACGAGTCAGGAGAAACTAGAGACAATACAGAAAAAAATAAGTCAGAAGCAATCCAAATCTAAATACAAGGCAAGAGGGTTACAAGCAGATACAAAAATTGTACATAGGAGTTAAGAGGAACCACAAATAATGTACATAAATAGGTTTGAGACAAGAAAAACTAGAGACCATGGCTATAGATACAAAATAGTAAAAACTTGGGGTTAGGAGACAAAATATATTGTAAAAGAATTACAAAGATTCAAATGAGGAGAAATCAGGAACAAACAGATACAAAATTTACAAACAAATTGGAGTCAAGAAAAACCAAAAATAACATATAAATGGTACTTTCTTCAGAATGTTTAGCTAAAACCTACAAGGTTAATTCGTAAAACAGAGTTTTTAACCATGTGGAAGGTATTAGAAAATTATGAAGTGTTTTAATCTTAAATATTGAAGGCTACAATATAAGTGAATGTTAAGTATTTTAAGGGCTAATAAGATATTATTAAGACCTGAAACCACACTGCAAAGGAGCTTATCATATAAGCTTATCAATGTCTAAGCTGATTCTAGACTTACATCACCTAACAGAATGAGTATTAAATACTTCTTAAAATACCGTAACTGAATAGAAAGTATTACATACTAACCAATAAATATTAACACAACGGTGACAGTTACATACAACAATTTTAAGCCATAACACAATTCTGATTCAAAAATTTGCTTGGAAAAATTCAACTTTAGAAATTACTAATAAATTAATGATAAATGAAATATTAGTCCAACATCTATAGGGGGTTGAGTATGTACTAAAAGTGTAACTATTGTTGATTTTTGATTGTTGTTCGGGGCATCTTGGAGTTGACAAAATCCGATATTGTCGCCTTCCCATAGCAGGTGCCTAACTTGGGGGGAGGGGCGGAAATATTGCGAAGGTGCTTTCTAGAACAATGTTCATATCTTGTACACTAGACACGATAGAAACATGCTCTAAACGGCACTGTATTACAAAATTAATCTGCTTCAAAAATGTTGTCATAAAAATCTAGTATCTATGATATTAATTGAGTTATTCAACATTTTATTTTAAAATGTGTATTAAACACTCCAAATAACGTTAAAATGCCCATTAAAAACACTTCAGACAACAAAAAGGACTGTTTTTCATTGTGTGTTGAATGTTCAACACACTCAAATCACTTTATATAGTAATTATTATACAATATTACATGGTTAAGCCAGGTTTCCGGTGAAGAGGCATAGCGACGCGGATGATGCCGCTGCACGGCAGAAATCAAAGTGTAGAGACTTGAAAACTTGGGTATGCACTAAAAATGTAAAAATGTAAGATGCCCCCAACAACAATCAAAAGTCAAAATGTGTTACATTTTCAGTGCATACCCAAGTTTTCAAGTCTCTACACTTTGATTTCTGCCGTGCAGCGGCATCATCCGCGTCGCTGTGCCGCTTCACCGGAAACCTTATATAACCTTGTAATATTGTATAAATATAAAGTGATTTTAGTGTGTTGAACATTCAACACACAATGACAAACAGTCCTTTTTTGTTGTCTGAAGTGTTTTAATGGGCATTTTAATGTTATTTGGAGTATTTAATACACATTTTAAAATAAAATTTTAAATAATTCAATTAATATAGATACGAGATTTTTATGACAAAATTTTTGAAGCAGATTAATTTTGTAATACAATGCCGATTAGAGCATGTTTCTAACATGTCTAGTTTACGAGATATGAGATTTGTTGTAGAACACGCCTCCGCACTACTTCTCCCCTCCCCCTGAGGTTTTGTGCACCTGATCGGAGGGCGACAACATTGGTTTTTGTGATCATCAAGATGCCCTCAACAACAATCAAAAGTCAACAATAGCTACACTTTCAGTGCATACTTAACCCCCTATAGATGCTGGACTATATAATGATTAAAAAAAGTAAACTAACCGACTAAACAACAGCTGTTCTGTCTTTTGTGATAATCAATAACAAAGGGGAAATAGAGTCCCCCAGAAACCATAAATCATAATGGGAGCCTGACTCAATTAGTAACTTAGGATAACTCCCTATTGAATCAGTTGTGATTGCAAATACAGAGTTAAACTCATACATGCAATAGCTATTGATATATGTTCTAGTGGAGGTTAGAGGCTTATGGTAGCAAGTAAGAAAGAAATTATGAATGTAAAACTTTATAGAATTGTTTTTATTTTGCAAAGTCTTCAAATCAAATTACAGAGATCCACTGGATTGTGACAAAAGAAGCTCGAGTTGGCAGCCCTGCGTCATCTACTTCATTACATTAATTAATTTATTGTGGGTAAGATTTAATACATCTTTCTCTAAAATGCAACCCATGTTACAAATTTTACAAGTTAATGCACATAGTTGGAGAAATAAGATTTACATATCCTGTATTTGATTTATTAGGTACTAAGGATCTTACCCCAAAAACTCAGTTGCAAACAGTCCTTGGCATAAAATGAATAATTTACTTTTCTACAATACCTACCTTAGATACGTATGTACAATACGTACCATAGATAGGTACCTGCTCCTGGAGCATTTGAAAACATAATGATGAGTCGTATTTACAATAAATCCCCAATCCTAAACAGTTGTAGACTAAAGCTAAAATGTGTATTAGCTGACAGGTATAAATGAAGTAAAGGAAGCAAAGCTGCCAACCTATGAGCTTGTTTTGTCTCTAAACAGTATATCTCTGTACTTGTAATTTGGGTTGGCTAAAAAAACTCCTGTTGTATAACATTTCAACCTTTGTTAGTTTATAAGCATTCATTCCTTAAAAGTAGGTTTGTGATTTAGGATTTCACCGACTGAAAACTTGCTGTACTGAGTTTTTTTAAGGGTATTTAAGCAGTTTTAAACAGCTTACTTAAAAAATACAGTTTTCATTGATAACATAGAGGGAGACTCTTGATGGCACTAAACAGACATATCATCATCTGTGAACTTTTCTGAGCCTAAGGATGTATTATTTTGAGTTCTAAGTATTCTTACGAGGACTGTATCACCTCCTAAGGCCATATCTAAGGCCTTACCCATAAAAAGTCCCAATTATTGCAAATATGTAAATGATACGTTGGGTAACTATGTTTCACAAGTTGGCGGCTCAGTAAGTAGCACAACGAACTAGGAAGGCATCAATGGGATTATGGTGATAATACAGGGACTATGTGATTCAAAACCCACCACTTAGCTCAATACAATTTAATTAGATTTGTATTAGGTGAACAGTACTAACATAGATAAAACATACTCCCTTAGTAGATTTCTCATCCTTATGGAACAGCTGAAGACAATTTTATTGTTAGTTCTGTACGGTTTATGTAGAGGTCGTGTTTTGTTTACAATTTTGTTTCCCATTATTTCAGTAATTTAAAACCTAGTTTAACCAAATAATACAATCTAATCATAAACAATAACTTGTCCCCTAGTTAAATAACCAAACAGTAAAGCACAAATCAAGAAATTAACCCTAAAACAATAAAAACAAAATCTCGTAGACACTAGCACCCAGTGTCACCGTACATGAACTAGACACGAAAAACATGCTTCAAAATTTACAATGGGGTGAGAAGTCTACTTGTGTTGGTTAGTCTATGGTACTAAATTTATATCCACTATATCCTTGACCTGGTGACTTGAGCTAGTAACCTTGCTAATATAGAACTAACCTAATTCTAACTCTTAATAAACTTGTTTACACTTATTTCACAAAGATATCAGATTTTACCTGAAGCAATGTTGAGACTTGCTGGAGTTGGCTGTTGGCGACGTCTTCATCGTTGACATAGAGAATGCGGTCGTAGGGGCACAACAGGTTGGTGAGAGCGGCAGGACTGCCGGGTACGATCTCTGTGATGTAGATGCCGCTCTCCATCCATGAACCGCTCAAACGGATACCTAGGGCCTGCTGTGACTCACGCTCTATGGTCACAGTCACGGTCACTGAAAATATCATTACACATGTTGACTATTATCAAAATAAGCTTCAAGAATCTATTAGCTTTCTAGGATGTATTTTTTTGTGATCATAAAGCAGTAAAAAATATACGTTTTGCAAATATCCATTCCCACTTAGCTTATGGATTATGCCTTTATGGTTCAACCATGGAAAGTATACAAAACTTCAAAAATAGGCTATACAGATGATAATGACTTTGGGATATTGCAATGATGAAGTTTATGTACACAAAATATCAAACATTTTTTTTAAAGAATTAGGTAATTTATAAATGGTATATCTTAAAATACATATCACCGTTAAGCATTACTGTATTTAGAAAATGCTGACTTTAAAAGCGACTCGTATAATACCAAACGTAACAAATCCATCATTGATTTGCAGCATAAATCAACATTTTATGAAACGTAAGGACTCATTCAAGGTCTTTTTGACTGGGAATAATAAAATTGCCTTTTTTCACTTTAAAATTGATTTGCTTTTGTGCCAAACTATTTTATAAGAACGTTCAATAATATATTTTAATGGTTTTTAAGTGTTACGTGTACAAAAAATTTTAATTCATTACACACAAAATTGTTATAACCTGAAATACTAAAGAGAATTTTTACAACCAAGTTTAATAAAAGTTACTGCACACTTTTGAGTATAAAATCAGCTTTACACATAAAATAAAAACTTGGAATAGGTTAATTACGATAAAATTAGAATAAAATATGGTAAGATAGGAAATAATAGTGTTCTTGTTTGACTTGTCAACATCAGTTTTCTGGTGCTGGTAGACATAACATAAATAATTTTTCTTTACATATATAATTTGTCCCACCTTCACATCCTAGAATGCTAGTTCTAGCTCAGAACTGTTTTACACATTACTTCAAACTAGTCCTAGAGGGTTGCGGCATTGTCACATGGATAAAATCCATTGGTGATTGTCGGGATTTGAACCCGGGACCTTGGGTAACGAAGCCTCACGCTCTACTACTAGACCAGCTTGGTCCCCCCAGTATGATGAATAGTAATAACAAGAAATACTAAAAGAAATTTTAATAAAAATTACTATATAAAGTTACTACCAGTACACACTATTGTTGAAATAATAGACTTTAGATATCAAATCAAAACTTGGATATGGTAAATTAACCATAATATTATAATAGAATAGAATTGTAGAAAATGATTCAATACGTTCAATAGAGTACACAATTAGTAGCCTACAAGTTCCTCTTTGGATTTGCAGGAAATCCAAATGTTATAGGGATTGAATTTGATATTTTTTAAGGAAATGTTTTGATGAAAATCAAATCAGCAAATGGAAATTTTCTTAGTCTGCAGATTTGCTGCGGAAGGGGGTATTTATTGACAACCAGAAAATTGCAACTTACCATGTTGAGCATCATTCGGACCATTGTAAGGGGCAATCCGCTCTCTGTAAACACCTAGGCGAAGAACTTGAGACTTGAGTTTTCTGAGGGCCTGGCATGCCTGCAAAATTACATTCAAATTAATGTTTAAAAATTCACACAAAAAAACAACATAATATTGTTAAAATAAAGAAAGATGACTTTTTTTATAGATAAATGTCACTGGAAATGTGACAAAAAACTCATTACTTAAATCCTCTAATCTGAGGGAATTTTTACCAACAAACTATATTACTGTGACTGTACAATGAGTTTTTTTTTTATTTTCTCAAGCTATCTGAAACTAATTTGACTATTTTAAAATAAATATCAGAGTCATTACTAAAAGAGTTTTTTTTATCTATGACCCAGACTGAATAATTTAGGTATGTGACAGACTAAGAGAATTTAATTTTCTGACAGTAAAATACGTATACCATGTTTGTAAATTGTTTTTAACTTACTTTAATACAAATAAAAGAATATGTTATTTACCCGGAAAATACAGGGTGGCTGAAAAGTAACTTGCACCCCCTCTTAACTTTTCAACCATTTGAGATATTTGAAATCGGTTTGCGGCAACCTTCTTAGATATGAGGGGCTTCAATAATTATGGTCAATTTTGAAAATTTTGCCCTTAGGGGTAGCGGGGGTAGGGGGTAGCTCAAATTTTCAAACGACAAGTATAGTCGAGTTTGGTATCATTTTACAGGTCTTGACGAAACATAAACATTGACATAAAGAAAACCAAAATCGGCTCACTAATAACAAAATGGCACCCTAAAACGTTTCAAATCCAAATAACCATGATGGTGGCAAAAAACTTAACTTGCACCCTCTTTAACTTTTTAACCATTTGAGATATTTGAAATCGGTTTGCAGGTAACTTGTTTGGATATAAAAGGCTACAATAATTATGGTCAGTTTTGAAAATTTTGCGCTTAGGGGAGCGGGGGTAGGGGGTAGCTCAAAATTTTCAAATGATCTATACCCCCGCTACCCCTAAGGGCAAAATTTTCAAAATTGACCACAACTATCGTAGCCCCTCACATCTAAGAAGGTTGCCGCAAACCGATTTCAAATATCTCAAATGGTTGAAAAGTTAAGAGGGGTGCAAGTTACTTTTCAGCCACCCTGTATTTTGTAACTGTAGTGCTAGTTACTGGTTCAATTTTAAAACCATACCAAATCATTGTTTATTGTAACCAAATATCTTGATAAAAAAGTACTTGGTTAGAAACTTGAAAATAAAAAAAAGCATCAAGATTTGTGTCAACAAATCAGACGATAAGTATAATAAAAATAGAGTCTACAGAGGGTTTTTCAATACTCTTCACACTCCTGGCCATCAGGTAATGCTGAGAATAATTTATCGAAAACAGATTAAATGATCCCAAAGCTAAGGTGATCCCATCCACGAATACTAGATAAGACCCGGTATGGATCATTAACATAAACAAATGACGTTTTGGCCCGTAAGTAAACATTATTTAACATTGTTTAAATGGAACTGTCTAAACCATATGTTAATGCTATTACTATAGGATACAGGCCAAAAACGTCATTTGTTTATGTTTAAGATCCATACCGGGTTTTTTCTAGTATTCGTGATCCCATAGCTAGTTTACAGGGGGCATAGGATAGACGGGTTGTTTTTGGTGGGTTGCCAGGAAGAATTGGAAAGAGGCATCCCCACATACCCTTAGTGTGCAGTCCCATTAAGACATCTTCAAATAGATTTTTCCCCTCTCGCAAAAAAAAAAAAAAATTCTTCACACATTTTCTGTTTATGGTTCCCAGTCCGATACAACAATGAATAATGGAATAGTTAGAGAGTTTATTTCCAGCCCTTATGTAGGTTGTGAAAATTTCCATTTTGGAATGGATACTGTTTTTGGTGGGTATCAGACTTCTCACAGAATGCGAAAACGGATAGATTATCAAGGCCATTTTTACACTTCCTAACATATTCCCGCCCTTACCCTCACTCAGTGCATTAGGGCCCCAACCATCAGTTATATGGTGAAGAATGTAGGCTTTGGATATGTTTCTTGAGGTAAAAATACACCATAAGATAGCACTGACCTTATCACACATACGGCAGGAGATAAAAAGTTTTTTAAACTTTCTTAACACACAGTGGAGCGTACACATTAGCTACAGAACTGTAAATGGTGCCATTCTGCTCACCAATGATACCAGAATGAGGCGAGTTGCTTGTTGTGGCATATACAGGAACTAATGAGCTATCTATACGCAAAACGGCCCTTACTTAAAAATCAACCCTCGTACATATATGAATTTGAATGGATGGTGTTTTGGCCTCTGATGTTGACAAAACAATAAAGTAAATCGGTTCCAGATCATGGTTTTACGGTAATAGCTTATTCCCTATATGGGAAATAGGCTGAAACTTTTGTATTAAAGTACTTGTAGTTTTATTGAAATGTTAAAGCTGGCTGTATTAAATCAGGTGATGTTCAATCAAATGAAGGACACTCATGGTTTTACTTATGATCACATGAACCTATTCCTCACTCTTATCATGAGTCTACAGCCATGGTCCTACCGACAAACGCCTTATGTTGTGTGACAAACAGCACCAGTGTTAGTTGTTGTCATTCATCTCTCTTTCCTCATATAGTTTACAGTCGTCTAAGTGTAGGATTATCAATAGCTACACTGCAGTTTACTGCAGCCTACCTGATGGTGAGAAGCTGTGCTCATGTCAACTCCATTGATCTCAACCAGTTGGTCTCCGGGCTTGAGGCGGCCGTCTTGGGCCACCAGGCCATCAGGAAACACTTCCTGTACTACAATACAGCGCTGCAACACAGAACATGTTTGTTAGCACACACATATTGGACACAATTAACAAAGCAGTAATATTTAATACAAATGGATTATTTAACAGTAAGTTAAATTAAGACATTTTGACACATAGTTTTGAAAGGTTAAATTTTAACAAGGTAAAATGAAAGGGTCATACAAGTTGTAAACTCTGAATTTTGGTTCTCAAAAGAGTAAGAAAATGTTGAAATACTGCCCAGCCAACATCAAACAACATCAAGTGCAGACAGGTCAATGACACTATACCCACAGCAAAATCCTATTATCCATATGAAGATCTATTTTAGAAGGACCCATGTTTATCCATAGTCATAAATAAATTCATTCCTAGGCTTCTGTAGCAGCCGGCTTTATTATTAGTAGTGATTTCGGCGTCAATCACATTGCTAGTTGGCGATTACAGCCAATCCTCAGAGGGTAGGCTGAGACTGTATATTAACCCCTATTCAAAGTAAGAGGTTTGTATAGCAGCAATCTCAAATTGATATCGTGGTTAATGCAGAAAACCACTACATGGGCTTTAAACCACAGATACACTTAAAGGAGGTTTTTTGTATATCTTATGTATGCTTTAACAATTAATTAAGTAAAAATAACTGTTGGTAATTTCTAAAATTTATTGTAAGTTAAAAAAGGTTTAAATACCAGCAACCAAGCCTACTTATGTAAAATTCACAACAGCATAAAATTTATATTGGAGGAAGAAAACCATAATTGTTTGAATTTTTTTGACCTCACCGTAAAAAAGCATCAGAATAAGTTGGAGTTTAAAATGTTCAGGAAACCAACATGAACTGACCAGAATATTAACTCAGAATCCCATCATCCTTACTCACAAAAACTAGCTGCGTACAACAGTTTTGTCCACCGTTTGCTTACAATTCCAGAACGAACAGGATTACAATAAATAACTAAATACAATAAAATGTATAGCTGTAGCAAATGGTTATCCAAGCTTTATGATAGATGAACTTATCTTCAAATATCAAAATAAAACAGGAACTAAAAAACAGAACAATTTCATCTCTGCAAAATATGGCACCTTCATGAGCAAAAAATATAATAATCTTATGACAAAAAACAATATTACAGTTTCCTTCAGAACAGAAAAAAAACTTGGTTCATTGTTAAAGGTTCACAGTCCTTCGATGACACAACCTTTGGATAGATCTGGCGTATAGAAGATCAACTATACCGATTGTACAAAATATTACTCGGCCAAACGGCACTCTCCTTAAAAAACTTTTCAAGGAACATCTAAAACATCTAGGAACTTCTAAAAGCGTCAACAGCCCACCAATCATCATCTTTTACTGAACATTTGATTTCTCAAGGCCAAAATTATACTAACATTAATAGCAACATGAATAATTTACTTATTTCTAGGGACATATTTAAATTAAACACCTTGGAAAAGTTTGAGATAAATAGGGCAGTAAATATTTGCCGACCATAAAAATTTGCTAAAGGAAATAAAAAAAAAACTTCTTTCGTTCTTTTATTTTTTTTTGATACTGGAAAGGGAAAGTGTGATAGACAGGACGCAACCTGAGATGATAAGATAACGTACATACACCACTGCATTGACCACCTGCAGTCTGGACTTCAACTCCGCCGGTTTTCTGTTGTTTGTTGTCATAACTGATCAGTTACCGTAAATGTTTTGTGTCCGTGTATGTGTCGTATGTAAATTATTATTTATTTTGATGTGTCAAATATGACGCTTTTCATGTGAAGAAAGAAGAAGTCTTTGTACTGATGATGGCTCCACATAGGAGTCAAAACTAGTTGTGACTGCAATTAAGGTATGTTTTGCTTGGAGCGACTGGTGCGACAGTCCCGGTACACTGATCTTAGGGGTTTTGCATAGTCCTGTTTTGCTTGGAGCTACTGTCGCTAGAGCCGCTGCTCCAAGACCAGTCAGGAGCGACAGTTACATTTCTGATTGTTTTTATAGTGTACAACTTTTGACAGGTTCGACAACCTTTTATTTTCGCTATATGGCGTCGTCACACTACACACACTAATACATACACACCTTAATACATTCCTTAATATATAACACACCTTAACACATTCCCTGTAGCAGCAAACCTAAGTACTCATTAAAATTAATGTTATTTAAATAGGAAATAAATCTGACAATTTTAAGATTTTAAGAGAATATTTGAGTAGAAATCCAGCCAGGTAAATGGAAATTTGTTTAGTTTGCTGCGGCGGGTGTATTAATTAATTATATCTATTCATTAGCATGGTCAATTTTATTTACTACAGAATGTATAGAAAAAAATGTGTAGATGCAGTTGGGAATATACGTGTACTCCACATTCTCATACAAGGGTAAAACGCAATACGATACAAAAGAGCAAAGTGATGATTTTAATTGGCTACTCCATCACAAGAACTAACAAGTGAATTCTTCTAACTTCTGATTAATGCTTTTACAGAAAATTTGTAAGAGAAATGTACACTTAATGATTAGCTTGTGGTTCTATGGTTCTATTTAAACATACAAACCATAGACATAATTAATTAATGTTAATTAGTGAAACAAAACTATTTTACAATGAGAGATATTTATAGTTTCAACTACCATAATTCGGATTTTTGTATCCTTATTTTATGTCCTACTTTGATGGAAAACAAACACAGAAATTTTATTTCGATTTAATTTTTTGGTTCTAATCCCAAGTATCCAAATAAAGTTGCAAGGCAAATTTTTAAACTCTTCTGGTTTATTTAATACATTATTGCCAATTATATTGAAGCAGGTGCCATAGTAATCTTTTCTATATACTTTACTGGGTACCGATCCACTGAATAATGGTATTATCACATGGATGAAGTTCATTGGTTATTGGGAGATTTGAACCCTGCTCCAAAGGACAGTCAACCTCTAATCTTGTCAACAAAGATCCTTTAACAGTCATCTCTTAACCTCTGGATCGGTCTTACTTCTAGTTTTTATAGGTTATAATTATCTGAATCAACAGATTACAATAATTTAGAGAATACAAATAACACTTATAAAAATTAATTATTTGATATTTCCATTTCTTCTAATGAGAAATTCTTCAATTTTGAACTTTGAAAGTCTTATACTCGAGGGGATTTCAAATGAAAGTTCTGCACTGACATTTAAAACCTTGATGATTTGACACAAACTTATGTTTTAATCATTTGTTGCTCAGCCAAGAAAAATATAAAAGCTAATTTTTCTGCAGGAATATTTTCTTTGCAAGAAAACAAGTGATATATCTGTAAAAAAATATAATTTGTATAATTTTGATACATTTATAAAAAAAATGATGAAGATGACATGGCTATAGCATAAGTCTTGACATTATTTGTTGAATAAAACTGAGTTTAGGAATGATACTAAATCATTAACAAAGTGTTAAAATATTGTAAATAAAAATGTTTGAAGTAATCTTTTGTTGTTGATATGATAACGATATACAGAGCTTTGAAAGAGTTTAGAAATGTTTTGGCAAGTATTTATAAATCAAATATAAGGCTTTTCTGTGTTTTTCTGTGAAGTTAATTTTTGCTGATGGTTGTGCAACAACAAACTTCTCACTTAATTCCTACGTAGACCTAATGTTAAGTCCTATTTGACTTTTTGAAACGAAACTAGTTTCTGTTTTGCTTGATTTTAAAAGTTTAAGATACAAAATTACATGATTTTCAAGTCTTTAAAAAACATGATCTTCAAATTATCAAAATGTTGGGGAATATTAATATTCCTTAGAATCATAGCTAAAGTACCCCGAAGAAGTCCGTGCAAAGTCATCTTTCAGGCTTTTAGCGTTTTGACATTTTATGACCTGTATATTTTAGAAGCATTATTTTGGGCATTCAAAAATATGTCCATTTTCAGGGAGGGTCACACAAACCATAGGTATAACACTAGATATAAGAACCTAATTAAGCCCACTATTCATAGATTATCACTATTTGAAGCATCACCTCAATATATTGGACCAAAATTGTATAACTTGATTCCTGATCATTTAAAAAACATAGCAAACTCAAAAAAGTTCAAACAAAAATGTAAAGAACGGTTACTGAAAAAACATTTTATTCCTTAAATGAATTTTAAGTGGAAATTGGCAGGGTTAAGTGTTGAAATTATTTTATTTATATTTTTTACTATTTAGATTTAAGTATTATAATGCATTGACAAATGTCCTGTCATTTTATGATGTAATGGCATTCTGTAAATAAATAAATAAATATTCTCTGTCAATGGTCCATTTATAGTAGACGATGGTTAATGTATAACTCTTAGACTTATTATCTCGATTCCGTTGATCTATTTCAGGACCTGACTTGTATTACCAATTCAGATGGTTTAATTACAAAGTCTTTGAGTGCTTTAATGCTTTTAGTCCACGGTTGTATTGTATTGCATGCGTAGTTAACCAAAAATCTGCACCTTAACATCACATAAATTCAACTACAATAATTTATATGTGAAACGAGGAAAAATATGGAAAGTCTAACCTTTTATGTTGAATTAGATGAATAACATTAATCTAGAAAACATTTCAGGAAAAATGTCTTTAGCCTTTTACCTATCATTTTTAGAAAGAAGAAGTGTTGTCACAGCGGGTTTGTTAAAATATTGCTAAAAAAGGTTAGCAAATTTCCAGTTACAGTATGTACCTATTTATTTATAAAAAAAATTAAACAAAGTCAAATGAACGTATGTAATAAGCCTCATTTAAGGAGTCATAATATAATAAATTATTTGCTACGTGTTACGTGAATAATCCTCGCTCTCCACAACACTTTTACCAAAATGCACCTAACACTATATCAAGGACAAGCTGCAATATACACGGGCAACTATCAAGGGCTGCTTCCCTTTGAAGGGTTGTTGTGTAAAGCCAGAAATGAAATGGTAGGCTACTCAAGTCAATGAATGTCAAAGTAACATTCTACAGTCACTCACAGAATCTCTTCAGAATCCTCGGCAGTCTTACAAACTGTGACTTTCTGAATGTAACATCAAACCTTCAAACTCTATCGTTGTGTTCAAGTTTTAACAATTTTGCAATTTGTAAATGGAGGTTTTTTTGAAAGGTTGGTTTTGTTTTCAAAAAATAAGTTTACTCAACCATTTTTAACTTAAGATTTTTTATACAAGTTAATCAATTTCTTGAGTTTTTTTTATTTATGTGAATTCTACTCTGTTAATTTGTTGCTACTAAATAATATTGATCAATAAATTGTTTAGGAATAGACAATTTTATGAGTTAGGTATTTATTCAGAGAAATACAAGTCCTGTCATGCCTAAATAAAAAAAAAAAAAAAAAAAAAAAAAAAAAAAAAAAAAAAACTTAAAGTATAAGCAAAATCGTTTTACTGCGACTGTTTTAACTTTAAAATAATTTAAAAGTTATACTGCTTTCAGAAATAAATAAAAGTAGAATTAATATTTTTTTTTAAATAAAAGTTTCTATAATTCACCCTCATTTATGACTTCTTGTTTGGTTGAATAGATTAAAACTAAAATATGAAAATTCCAAATAGTGGCCATTAAAAATATGAGTAAAATATTCCCATTGCAGCAAACCTACTGACTAAGGGAACTTTCAATTGCTTTATTGAGTGTTTATTCAGCAGGTTCATGATAAGATGAAAAAAAAAACGGGCAGTATAAATACCATGAGATGAATGCATTAGATTTCCTGTAACAAGAAACAAATAACACGATTGATGTTTTATTAAAACTTAAAACATCTAGAAAAATGGTAAAACCTCTTATACAGTGTGCATTCAGAAGCATAAACTTACAGTATAGACATAACTTTCCATGTTGATCTGAACAAAAGTGAACTTTTATTTTAGAGTAAACTGACTTTTTGTACCAATAGGCAGATTAAATTATATTCCTGATTCAGATAATCAGACAATGACATATAATACAGGTCAATGGCCAACGGTAAAAATGACAGGTTAACTATTGTAACTTAACATATGAACTTTGTGTAAGGTACTTAGAGGACATTCCTAAACTTTGAAATTCCATCCACTGACTAAATCATGTTCCGTGGGAAGGACATTTAAACCAATAATTTGATGTGTTGTATATTTGTATGGAAAAAAATTTATAGTTCAGAAACTCGAGGAAATTTTAGAAAAATAGGGAGGAACACTGCCCCAATATGATCTTCTTAAAACGAGCTATATAAATTCTCTTTGTATCCTAATTCTGTATTTTTTCTAATAAATTAATAACTATTCGGCGTAACCTTATTTATAAATAGGGAAACCCCTCTACATATATATAATACCCCTTACATGCAACTAAAGTAATTAACATAATAAATTAGCAAACATCTGGAAAGTCTAACCTTGTATGTGTAGTGGATGAATTGCCACAAAACAAGATAACATATCGGGGTATTTGAACAAACATCAAATGACAGGACTCAAAACAGGACTGCTTTTGTTGATATGTTTATTCGTGTTAGGTACATGGGGGAGTGATTCAAGATAATACAATGTCGATGTAGGGGTGCAAATGTTGAAATATCTACAAATGTTGAAAAGTCTGGAACGAGGGTTTCTAAAGCGGCCGTTCTAGTCACAATTTGTCAAAGCACAAAGCAAGAAGGCTGTTAGCCATTTCACCTGTAGAATTTGTAAGCTGTACTACGTTTGTCAAAAGTTGGGAAAAAGTTACACATTTTCATCCATTTGATCGTTCAATGTAAATTGGTGCATTTATAAAAGAAGTAATTGAGTGGTGGCTTTTATAAATAAATAATATCTCAACAAGAAAATCGAACCGTTATGAGTATATTATCCATTCTAAACATTGACCATGTAAACTAACTAGCTCCGTAGACCACACTCTGTCACGGCTTAATGCGATGAAAATGGTTTACAAATTAAATTATTTTCTCTGATCCATACACTGATTGGCTCGTGAATAAGCTAATTAATTACAAACCCACACTGCGTCACATATTGTCAAGATTTTGTTTACACTCGATTATTTTGCGTTATAATAAATATGTATTGTAACTTGGTAAAACTACACTATATAAATGACATGAATTGAACATTAATAATGGAAAATAGACTTGCATTGCTGCATGCCATCTTTTTTTATAGTAATTTTTAAATAAACCCGTACATTGTTGATTTTTCCAAGTTGCAGTTTATGTTTGTTCAGCCAAAATTTGGACAAAAGTAAAAAAAAAAAAAACACACAATTAATATGTATAGGTTTTGAGACAGAATACTTTAGACGAAAAGAGGATACTGTACATTTTTCACATTTTACTTTTACAAATATATTTTTGAATTCTTATTGCAAACCTAGAGCTTATGTAAAACCATCAAATCAAGCAAAGTCTACGTAAATATTAGTACATTCGTTCAACTATTCAGATATAATGAACAGCGAAAGAGTGAATCATGCAGTAAATCAATAAGTGATTGACGACTAACATTTACCTACACAGGTATTTAGTTAGTTGCTTAATATGAATCATTGGATTGTTCTACTTAATAGACAGTACAATCAAAACAAATGTTCAACTGGTATAAAGTTTTACTACAACTCAGGTTGACATGCAGACTGCACAGTTAAGTTATGCTAGGACTTTGACGACCTCTCCAAGCATCGGACTATATACTGTAATGTTCTGCAATAGAATAGAAAGACAGAGGTACAATCTTCGAGACGAGTAATTCAACCCTAAGAGATTGATTGAAACAGTACTGATCTGACAGAAATAAGAAATTGATACATTTGATCTCTCATTTTATACAGTTAAATTTCAAATCAAGAGAGAAAATAAGACGATATTTTAAAATCAATCATAAGATATTTCTGAGATTCAAACATAGACTATCTGAGTTATATTACTTCATAATATAAGTAATGTTGTTTTACTTAATTTTTCACTACAGTGAAAAATTAATTGATGAAGGTTACATTTATTATCTATTAAATTAATTGATAAGAATATTTAAATTTTCTGATTTGCGTTTTACAAGTCGGTTTTATTATATGGATATAAAAATGTACATACAGCGTAGATGTAGACACTGTATATTTTAAAAGGGTTAGAACACTGTTTAATTATACTTGTAAATTTATCAAAAGCACTTTATTCCAAAAATAACAATAATTAAATTTCCTACAAAATTAGAAAAAGTGGATTAGGATACATTGCAGGATACTCTATACTGAATAGTGATATTAAAAAGGTATGTACTGTAGTAGTGTTTGCCGATGTATCAGAGGGTCGGTGTTCACTGTTCAGATTTTCTATGGATCTAAGCTGGACCCAGCTTGATCATTGAGAATTAAATAAATGTCCCTAGCTAAATAACTTTCTGATCATAGTCAATAAACTGTCATCACATTAATTGAACACTAAATTTCCACTCATCTCCTCTTTAAAATATACATCCTGAAGTGATAGCATAATATTCTAGTAAAAATATAAATTGAGAGTGATACCCCACCATAAAGCTGGGTTTTCCTAGGCGCGGAAGCGGAGAGCGGAGAGAGGAACGCGGAGAGCGGAATTGAAATTAACATGGCATTCCGCTCCGCTTCTAGGAAAACAGTAACATTAAATTGCCTAAGACAAGTGGAGTCCGCTCTCCGCGTTCCTCTCTCCGCTCGCCGATTCCGCGCCTAGGAAAACCCGGCTTAACACACCTACAAACACGACAACGGGGTCATCTATGGCATTTTTTATACAATAAACCTACATTTTACCTACATATGTTTCTTATTTTGTGGGGGAACAGAGAATTCATTACAAATGGGGAATAATGACAAAACTTATCACATCAAAAGTGGTCAATCTGAAGATAGAAGATAATGAGAATAATTAAGAATTTTGTATGAAAACCAAAATAACTTACAAGAGCGGTATCAGAGCCTCCGACGACAGTGATCCCCAAACTCGGGGAAATTCGGGGAATCTCAATGTGGCTCACTTCTCCCTCCAGCACTGGCAGTCTGGTAATACCTTGAAAACACAAGGGGTAGGTTAGACAGTGACAGGCTTTAGCAGGTTAGCTCGCCTCCAAAACCAAGATGAAGCAGCGCTAAAGGTAGAGAGGTTGTTTTGGATTTAAAATGAGAAGACCAATGTTTCTGCAAACAGCTGGATTTATTTATATTTTATACATTGAGAAAGACACAGACCACTTGATCGTAGATAATTTTAGGTTGGTAACAGATTCTACACAACTTGCTTGGAAGTAATAATGTTTCAACTTAAATGAACATGCTAACTATATCAACGATTATCAGTAAACATGCTTTCAGTCAAGAGCAAACATTTAATTCTGCCTTCACAAGAAATAATATTGTGAAAATGAGTAGAATTAGGTCAAACTGAAAGATATAACAAAGTGGGAAAAGGTGCAAAAGTTCAATAAACTGTATTTGCATCAAAATAATTATACATTTAAAAACTTTAAAATGTATGCAAATGTATCTTTGAATGAAAATTAAGTTATACTAACTAAACAATAACAACAATATAAATATAGGTTGCCAAAAATAAATTACAATAGTATTTATGTACTTATATTCCAAAAGTATACCTGAACCTTTCTACTGTAAAATTGTAGAAAGTTGTTTTGTAAAGTGGAAACAGCTAGCAATAAATAATACTAAACTAAGGTCATAAGACTAGGCCTATACAACATGATTGAGAAAAATCTTTGCTTAGTTAGTTTAAAGCAATAACATTGGCAAGTATAACAATTTTTACAGTCACAGTGTGACTGACCCGGTGCCTTCACCATGCGAGTCCCATGCCTCTCAAAGTCTCTTAAAGTTACACTCGCTTAGCTGTTGTAGAGAGGTAAAAGGTTGAAAGAGACATAAGACTGCTACAGGCGTGACTCAACTTGTAATAAAAAAATAAATTTAGAAAACAAAGAAGTTACAAAGGGTGACAACACCAAATAAGTACGTTGAAAAAAACAAAGAGCAACAATAGTAAGAAAAAGATTTACAACATTAATTTACAAGAAAAGATAATGGAAAAAATTAAAAGAATGAGTTAATAACAAATTAAATGACTTGTTTTACATATTTATAATTTTAGTTACATTTTTTTACATAGTGTACTACCAATTGTCCCTGAATCACATGCACCTACGACACAGGCACTTTGTTCCAGCCCGCAGCAATCTCCTTGATTTTTCCTCCTAGGTCCTCCAACACCAAGACTCGTCACACCTCCTCCATCTTCTTCATTAGACCTTCTCATTGGCTGATTACCGATAGGGTGTGTGGCTTGTAGGTTAAAGTTGTTTCTCAGAAGTCAGCCCTACCGGTCATCGCCTAGCCCACGTCAGCTTGGAATGGAATTTGAAAAACGATGCTCATGCTACTGTTCAACTCTGTTCAAACCAACTGGTCGACTAAGTGTAATGTGAACAGAGTGCCTGCTTAGATGATCACCGTGGGTACAGGGTTAATCCCCTTTCTTACACTCCATACGAAAATATAGTTTGTTTTTAATGTATATTTACAACATATTGTTTCATAATTCACAGTTTATTGAAAAACTTATGTTTATTGCATTAAAAAATATTAATAAAAATATACTATTGATAAAAAGTAATAACTAGTAAATAAATTTTATATTTTACATTTTATATTAAAAAATTAATGTTTCATTGATTTATAATAATTATAATAAAAATATATAAGTAATACAGATAAATAAATAGTATTTATTCTGATAGCCCCTGGACTATAAATAATATTATGACTTTTCAGGCTGAATTGAAATTCTGCAACCGTTTTCCATTTGACCCAACCGATGAATATACAATACTGTACGTTATATGCTAAAATTAATATTGAATAATATGCTTAATAACGTACAACAAAAATATTTGTTTCTAATATGAAGAACTTTATTTAAGTTATTTTAAATTCCAATTTCATTGGATCTTTTTTTATCTGGATAAGCATTCGCCATAATGGTGACATGAAAAGTTGTACAGTTATACCAAAGCGATAAACAAATTATAAAAAATGCAGTTATAAAATAGTGAAATACAATGTATTGATAAATTCCAACAAAAAGATATTAAACACAAACAATATATTTTTAAACTCATTGACTGAGTAACAAAATTATGGATATTTCCATTTTGTTACATTGCAGTAAAACATCACAAATTTAAAATAAAAATGTCACAGGTAAAGTTAGGTGACCGAATAACCTATACTTCAACCTTCGATAATTTAACGTTGCAGAAAACTGTTGTGTGAAATAGAAACGACTTGAATGGAGCTGTGATACAATAGCTTACTCAAACTGTGACTGAACACAATTGCCTCTGCGTTAGCCACTGTACAAAGGTAGCGGGAGAACCAAGAGTAGGGTAATTTTGGTATTTTATCAAACAATTTTTCATTGCAACTGCTGCAAAGACTGTTTACAGGCGTTGCGGGGCTGAAGTAGTTCTTTTCTCCCAAGGCATAAGAGGTCTCAAAATTCGTCCGCCGATTTTGATGAATAAATAGTTCCGATTAACACAAATTTTATTCACGTCTTTATAAAATTGGTCTGTGTTCATTATTGGTTGTATATTTAACTAAACTATACACAGTATGCAACGATTTCCAGTGTTGGTATTCTATTTGTTGTATTCCCAACCCCCGCCCATTTTCAGTTTAGGCCATGGCGATTAGAGATGTGTAAAACATGAACATCTGATTATGAAGTTTCCCATGTGCGTTCTGTCAAGTCATTCACGGGAATTTACACGGGTTTGATGAACTGCTTTAAATAGGAAATAATCAGTATTTACGTTACATTATGTTCACTCGAGCCAGCCATAAGGGGTTTTAAACAATTATTACAAGAGTATTTCAACTATTTTAAATATCTAAACACCGCGAAGAAAGTCTACAAGTGGAGCAAAATCATCACAGCTTTTCCAATGTGTTTAAAAGTAGAAAGGTTTTTATAATTTTAAAATTCTTGGGACTTGTAGTATTCTGTAAATGTAGGTACAAATGAACATTTTTGAAATATAGTTGAAAAGTAAATCGAATAAGGAAGCAATTCATATTTACTGAAGTAAATTAAACGGATATACCGAGATGTGCTTGTTTTGACAGTTTTTAATTTGGGTTGTGTAAAAAAACACACCCTGTATAAAAATACTACTAACATTTCAATATCTTTCATAGGTTAACAGTTGATTATGTACTGTTGTGTACCCGTAATTTGAACAGAGTGTGTGTTGTTTGTTTATTGTTTGAATCTTAATTCACAAGACTATCTGGTTAGAATACCTTTGACATAAGTGAATTTCGTTTTCAAATTATTCTTCTACAATAACTATTTGTTCCAAAGGCAAATGTTACGTAAATCCTATGTAAATGAAATAAATTAAGAGAATGTTTTTTTAATTACAAGAGAAGAAAGGTTTGAACACACAAGCCTACTTTGTTTCGTTCAGGGTTGGTAACTTCTTGCTCTAATTCTCACTGAAGTGTGGCGCTTGCTTTTATTTATGCTTCAAGTTTCATTCTCTCCTCAGGGATACAATTATACAACTTAAAGGCCGAAGTTATTCCATTAAGCCGTGATAGATTTGGAAAGTTATCCGGTACAATACGTAATTAAAGCCTATTTATACCATTGCCCTTACAGCTTCACTAACTTTAGAATATTGACTTAGTTCTTCTAAGTAATAGACTACAATGTGAAAACAAAATAATGTGGCTGACATGTATGACAGAACTGCTAGACTGGTTTGTAAGTAATTAGTTGATGAACAATGGACAAAACAATGAACAATGAATCAACAATTATTATTATCACCATTTTTACAAGGAAGGACCCGTACCTCTTATTTAAGGATAATTACAGTAAAAGTAATTAAGGATTAACTTCATACGTTATTAGCCCTGAGAAACTAAATACTGTAGTAGGTATTGTAAAACATATATGTATCATCTCATTTAAGAAAGGAATTTTATTGTAAGAATTAGTCGCAAATAGTGTCCTTTTTGTATTTGTACACTCTTAACTCCACGGACTCCTTTTATTGACGGGGGGGGGGGGGGAGCGGAATCAGTTTACGCATTGGCCATTGATTTAGTTTCGTTATTTTTTGTTATATTTGTAATCAAACACGTTAAAAGTTGGTATTTAAAAATTTACCCAAAGTAAAAAAGTCAGAAACACGATGGATGTTGTATACAAGTTATAACGTCTGATTATGTGGCTATGGGGGTAATAATGTAGGGAGTTATTTCTCAGTCGTATTTTATTAGTAGTTGACGCAAAGGCTCGTACCTTAAATTTTCTACTCGTGTCGTTAACACTATTTACGCGAGTTGCGTACACTAATTTACCTACGACGGTGTTTTAATTACTAAAAATCACTACTCATAACTTCTAAGAGAGGTTATGTTTTTGTTTATAACCTCTAATTGCCACTGATAGTGATGCAACGGCACATTGTATCAAACACTAATTGCACCAATCAACAATTAAATTGGCCTGAACAGCTGATTAGTTGAATTTCGAATCATTACAATTTTGCTTCTCCTCTCTCAATCCTTGAACCTCATTGGTCCGTTACCCGTGTTGTTATGAGTAAAACTATGCTGTTATGAAAGTAAACAATGCTGTTATGAGATAGGGTACTTTTCAATTCTAAGAACTGTACTGAAACGGCTACTTTAAAAAACGGTCGTAGGTAAAATTATTTTTGCTGTTAGTAGCCTGAAAGGGGCGATACCAATAATTGTAGTTATAGATCAATATCTCCTAAAAGTCAATACGGGGTTTCTTATGGCAGAGCTAAAGTCCTGAAAGCTAGGCATCTAGCCTTGCGCCTTAAAAGCCAGAACGTTAGTCTTAAAGAAGGAATTTCTTTATATAACGGAGGAATTTCTACATAGGGAACTATCTTAAGCTTCAGACTGACTTACTAAATAAACTGACGAATCTCACAATCCGATCATAATTGTAAATAT